TTTCCATATATGAACAATAAGTAGTTTGACTTTGAAACTCAAACGTTGTCCTCTTAAAAGGAAAACATGGAATAACAGCATCATGACGCGTTCGTACCGTAAAAAGATAACTTACATTGTAGACAAAGAGACTAATGTGCTGAAGGCTCCAGGGGTGATAGTGCTGATGTGATTGTCATACAGAGAAAGAAGCCTCACTGAGCTCAGTCCAGCAAAGGTGTCATTGTTTATACAGCTGATAGAGTTGCTCCTCAGCATCCTGCAAGGATTAAAACAGGGAATTAGAACTACTGGGAGGGGGTATAATTTCAGGATAGGAGGTCCTTTATCTAGGGCATCACCAGATGCTTTGGCAAGCACTGTACTCTATTAATTGCTGAAGTACAACACAGCTAAAGGAGGGCTAGATTCATGTAAACATTGTCTCATGAATTTAAAACGCATTTCTTCCACACAACATTAGAGGCTGATGGGAGCTCCACATCTGAAAGTAGTACGCTATTAAAATTATGACTAGTGGCAAACTTGAAATAAACACTAAAGTCTTAATTTAGTAAATATCCGAGAGTAAGTGAAGTTGTATTTCCGAGATCAACTGAAAAAAACTGCCAGCAATGTGTGACAATAACAATACTAGCTGCACTACTTCTATCATGGGTGGTTTTTGTAATCCACGCTGCAAAAGTATGGAAGGAAACAGCATCCTCGGCAGAAGTCAAGGAATAGCTTAGGAAAGATTTCCAGACCTAACACAAGCTCTGAAAAGCCATTATAATCATTAATTGACAAGACAGAAGGCAGTAACCATCCTATAAAACGGTCTTTGCTCAGTGCTTGTACCAGATGAATCAGCGCTGTGTTTTGGAAGATACATCTCTCTGAGTTGTTATGGTAACAATGAACTCGATGATAAAGCCTAATTAATCTGAAAGACTGTAGTATCTTGTTTCACTCCATAGCAAAAAAGGCTCATGTGTATTAGTTACACTGCATGCCAATCAACATCTGGGTCTGCAAACATCACTACACAGTTGTGATATTCCTACTTAGGTGAAAAATTAGTCAGTAATTAAAGCATAATACCAAAACTCCACAAAATACATGCAGCTCACGCTGCTGTTCCAGTGAATTGATCCTCCAAATTGAGGAGGGTTATTTCCTTGGTATCAAATTAATGCAGTGATCAGTGAAAATTCAGACTCCCCTCAGAAGTCTGGATTTAAATCTCAGATTGGTATCCGCCAGTTGGGCATTTAGGTACCACATCGATAGATACTTGAAAAACACCACAGAGAGATTAGATATGGCTGGGAAGAAATTCACAGTGCAGTCACAAATACTCAGTGTTTAAGACCTGGACATGACATTGCTTTTGCATTACTGTTCTCTGTGTACAGTTACCATCACAGCCGCTACAGGCTCAATGGTTTTGGTATTGCAACTGGGGTGAAACACACATGGAGTACTAAGCTGCCTGAAAGCCAGGTCGAGACCACAAGCTCCAAAATGAATAGGGTAGTAAACAAGAGAAGTAAGCCCCTTAGTGGCTTAGTAGCCGTAGGAAACGTTTTCTCAGTTCTGTATGTAAAGTAGCAGGCAGCAGTACTGCAAGATGGGATGACCGAATTTGGATGCCGGTACATCTTGCACAGCAATTTATTACATTCAGGAAATACACAATCTTTTAAAAACTGGACCATGACCCTGTCCAACGTGGCCTCTTTGTAAAAGACCACAATTATAATGCTCAAGGAAAGTCAATTAATGGATAGAAATATATGTCCCTCAAGCCAAAACCTTTGGTTTCATATCATGGTTCAGCATGCACCGTGTGCCCTTTCTGAAGGAAAACTTATACTTACAGATCCTCATATCATGCTGTGTATATTTAGAGTGCTTTATCAGCTAGGGAAAAATGTAGGTCAGGTCAGCAGGATAGCTTGAATGTTAAGCATCTTTTTATTAAAAAATGCTGAATATTCTTTAGGAGCACTGCCACAGGCTGCTTTAAGTATAAAAATTAATTTAGTATCTATGGACAGTATTTTCAAATCCCTAGTAAAGTGCATACATTAAATTAAAGAACAGATGGTTGTAACCACAGAAAAATAATGTTAAAGGAACAGCAAAAGTTTCCTATTCATCATCAAAGTCCTTGAAGCGAAACTTGGATTTCTTTTTACACTTGAGTAAGGACTGAAGTAATTGTGGCATGATACTTTGCAACATAGGAAGTATTTGCTGCTAATGAATAAATTGCAGATTTTAAATTGCATTTTGATTCCTAGAGTCTATTTACGGACAGCATCCACCTAGTCAAGTGCTTGCTTTCTATAGCAGGGAAGACTACGCAAGAGAGGTATTTTTCACATACAGATCATATACATTATCTGGCATGAGTATTTGCTGTCACCAGAATCCTAGGCCCTGACTGCTTCTCAGGATGGTGGATGGGGTGGATTAGACACCATCCTGAAATCTTGTCTGTGATCATTCTTCCAATATAACTTTTAACATGAAAATAAATTAGTGTTAGGTACTGTGAGTTTATGTATAAGCATTAGTTCTCAGAAATAAATTACAAAGGTCGTCTAAGCACAAAAGTAATACCAAACCGATTTCTTATGCATTTGTGCTCTATGTCTTCTTCATGCTCTCCCCAACCACAACCACATTAATAATATACCCACACATAATTTTTATGGTACCTGCTGTGGGCAAGAAAGAACATGCTGTGGCTAGTCCAAAGGCATGCCTGTGCTCACGGACTACTACACCTGGTGCAGAGTGAGTGGCCAGCTACCTTCTGTCAGCAGGACCTGTAACAGTTTGGTTATGCCTGCCTTAAAGTTGCTTAGCTGTACCTGTCTTGGTGGCAGCAATAACTTGAGTCTTTCTTCTCTCCCTGCCTACTGATTTCATATAGTTTGTAGGATATTAAAAGGGCTCCTAGCCTACTCTGACATTCGGTTCAAGCAGACCAACAATTCCAATTTGGGTGGAGGTGGAGTGGGAGGATGGACTAATAGATAGCAAACTACATGTCTTGTTTCCATAGGAAATAACAAAATAATAAAAGTATTAAATGATTAAAAGTGCCCAAATTTGACCCATGACAGGTTCACCATCATGTTACTCCTGAAATACTTGAAAATCTGATAAATCTCAAACCTACCCAGGACTAGAAATATATTGAAGACTTCATGACAGTGATACAAGACCCTGCCTTAGAGCTTGTTGTCTAGTAACAGATATTTTAGCAGGCACTGCTGAACTTAAGCACTCCCACTCAACTTACAGAGCAATAGAGAAAGACGGGTGTTTGCACTTACAGTGTCTTTAGCCCTGTGAGGCCTCTAAACATTCGGCCATGCACTGATTCTAGTTGATTCTCTGTCAGAATCAGTTCCTGCACTCCTGAAGCTCCATCAAATGCGCCTTCTCGGATCTCCTTGATCTTATTGTTGCTGAGATTTCTGGAAGGACACAACCAGTCACCATAAGAAAATTATTAGTGTTTTATTCCAAACATATATCGTCACACTGGAAGGAGGAAGATAGGAAGAATATGTGCCTTTTACTGGTTATCTAGGGAGACATTCATTGAAGTTCAAAAGATTACCTCCTGTACTTATAAATAGCTCCCCTTCACTTTTCAAACCCACAAGTATATCAGATATATCAAGAGTATTTAAATTAATGGAATTACCAGCTCTTACACCTCATGTCATTCTTGCTTCTAAGGGTCTCAGGGATACAATAGGTGGGGGTTTCTAACATCTGATTTATGTCCATGAAGTTATGGACCGTGCTTGAGACTGAGTGCTCATCTGGCAAGAATCAGTTAATGTTACTACCATTGAAATAGGTATCACATATTGAAATATGGACCACTTTTATTTAGTGTACCAGGACCTTTACTCTTTTTAAACTCAACACTGGAGTAACATACAAAACTGTGTGACTGCATGTATCTGATACAAATTTTAATACGTGCACTCGTGAACGCCCAGGCAGTTAAATTTAACACCACCACTCGAAATGAAATGAGTATCACTTAATTCTCAATTCACAGCTACTGCAATATACAGCATTGTTTTCTAAATATTTACTCTGCCTATACAGTCTCAAGATGTTTGCATATAGATCAACATTGGAAAACTTCAATCTACAAAGTCAGATGAAGTTCTGATGAAATGCAAAATTAATCTTTTGAATATTTCATATTTGTGAAAAACCCAGTGAATAGAAAACTTCTGAATGATAAAATGCCATTAGAGATGCATAAAAATAAGTAGCATTTAATTATTTAAAACATTCATATAAAAGGCCTTAAGGACATTAAAAACCTTGGGCCTCAGTCCTTCAAGCATCTCCTATGGTGCCCTGTATAGATCATGATGAATAATCCTATTTGTTAAGGTTTATGACGGGAAATACTATTCTTTGTTTTACTGTCTACAACAAAAAAGAGAAAGTATGCTCTTGCTCCCAAGAAGATGCCGAATTCCAGCACTATTACTCATACTGAATAGCACATTATTCCAGAAATGATCCCAGTACACACGCAGCATGAGTAATGGTTTTGAAATCCAATTCCAGGTGATACACAACAAATGACAAGGTATCAGATTAACACCTGGGCTACTCTGCTCAGGAGAACAGGCAATCTTGTTGGGATAAAAGTTGACAGAAGACATGGCAACAGGACAGCTTGGCCTCAGATAGAAATAATGTGGGTCTTGCTCTTTGCAGAAGTCATCACTTAATAAAAAAAAAAAAAAGTTGAGTCTTGGAGATATGTTTCATGTGGGAAACTTGAGTACGCTGGTTTATGTCTGCTGAACAACTGTCAGATAGTGGGCCCTACAGCATGTGGCCCATCACCTCTTGTGCATTCTGTGATCAGAAAGAAGAGGAGTATGCCAGCAATCAGCCAAAAATAACATAAAACCATATAGAAATACTCACATGCAGACTTTGCTTTCCAGAAGTTCAGTGCTTTGTGCTCACACTCACATGAAGAGTTTATGTTCAGTGTCAAAGCAAGTCGAGGAAGGATATTCTGACATATGCATTTAATTTTGGGGCTCAGCTATTTCTCTAGTGGAGATGTTTATAGCCCAGCATCTCTTTTGAATACTGGCATAAATAACTGCTCCCAATGATCCCTTTCCCGGTAAAGATCATGCCGTGATGCATATTTGCGCAAAAATCAATGAATAAATAAGCAAATGGGAAGGGAGGGTGAGTTACTATAATACACAAAGACTTTGACTTTCAATTCAGAGATTGCCAACTGACCTATACTTGTAGTTACAACGTTTTCTTAGTTTTTACCATCTAAAAGACATTTAGTCACATATATTTAAAAATGGGTGCAATTTAATGGATGATTAGATACTCAAGACAAAAAAGAGCAAATATTGGAGGAAAAGGCTGGCCACAATTTGCAAAGGAATTGGCACCTTTATACAATCCAGACCATCTGAATGTTAATTGCTGCCAAAGAACTTCTGTAGATAGGGAACTCATTTGAGTTGATAATGTCTGATCATTTCAACAACACAAAATCATCCAAAAATATGCTAGCCGTTTCAGAAGAAGGCAATTATATATATCTTTCCCACGCAAAAGATTTGAAAATCCAAGATTAAATGCTATGGTGAAATTAAAGTTGCAAGGCAGAGAAAAGACAAGCTTTACAATAATAAATACATAAAGATGACACTGCCCTGCAAACCTGCTTGGAGTACTGTCAAAGCAGATGTTCTGCCAACCTAGATTTCTTTATTTGTCTACCTGAATTAAAGCTTCCCATATCAGAATGCAACTAAAAAAAATGGTAGATGACAGCACTTATTCACTCAAAAAAAAAGTTATCCTCCTTAAAGCCTGACCTACTAGAATAATAAACATAAGAAATTACATACTACTTAGTCTAGAATTACCAGTAAAAAATAATCAGCTGATACAAACCTTGAAAAATGAAAGCAGTGAAACTTTTGCCTGCTCTGCAACTCAGAGAGCTCTACTCTGTCCTTCCCAGCACTAAAAGAATCTTTCATATATGATCATAGCCCTTGACAAGGAGAGGGTTTTTTTAATCAGAAAAAAAAATTCTGACAAACTTTACAGCAAATTCGCATTATAGAAAAGTCCCATCCTCTTGCAACACTAAGCTTCTACAAGGAATTGTTCTTGAAATACTGGAACACAGTGGAAAAGAAAATGAGTATTTCCCAAGATACCTATGCCCCCTGGCAGGACTCAAATGGGAACCTGTAGTCAACCTGGTCACTCAAGAAAGGTTATTGTTTCCGTAACGACTCCCTGATTTACCCTGGTGATAAAGTTTAATCCTATATCCAGACTTTTCTTTTGAGCAAGAGGTCAAAAGAAATTTTCAGAAAGCCTGGGTTTACTTTATGTGGGGCTGTGAACAGGAAATGAACAGATCTAAGAAGCTATCAAGGTGACACTGTTCACACAGCTCACTTTTCAGTCAGATTTTATTTACTTTATGGCTAAGGTTTATAATAATATTATTTCTGTTGATCTTATAACCAACACAGAACAAGCTGGATTCTATGCAGACTTAACAGAACCATTCATCCTGCTGTACCTGCTGGGTCAATTTTAACATTCCAGCATGCTATTCATCGCTGTGTTACCGACACATCTTCCCACGAGAACAACCACCAGAGCGCAGTCCAACTGCAAAGGCTCTGCTTGGTCTCACCGTGAACTTCATAGTTTTACCATACAAACAGCCTGTTCTGAGTGGGGGTTTCCCTAGAATATTTCTGTCCGTTGGTGATGCATTTGGTATTTTTAAGTACAAGTTAGGAGGAAAACCCCAATACTGTTGCATTCTTCTGGAAGAAAGATGTTTGCTGAGAAGGTTTTACAAGCTTTTACCAACAGCCTGGCTGGGTTTTATAGAGCGAGTTGTTCTCAGAAGCAGGATAGCACTGAAAGGCTTAAACACTACAGACAGTGAAGTACACCCAGTGACATTCCTACATTCATTCAGCAGAGCAGACTGATGGCCTCACTGGAAAAAAAAGGGAGGCACATGAAGAGCCCAAATGCCATGTACCACAACACTCTCTGCAAAATCATTTCCAGAAAATAAAGTCCATTTCTGTATAACAAGTGAACGATGACTGCAACCTCAATTGCCATGGCAAAATTTATGCTTAGAGGAAAGAACAGCAGGTAACAGCTGTTTCCAGGGACACAAACTACTTTTACCTCCCCAAGAAACCTGAGATTCTGTCTTTTAAACTGACTTCTAGTCTGCAAACTTTATCATGATTCAATTTCATTTTGTATGTAAAAAGCATTATATCCTGGGCTGACACTCCATACAATTCAGCGTAGGAGAAATATTTACAGACAAATTAGGCCTCCAAAGGCAATTATATAGTAGAGGTGGGGTTGGCAGTACCAGCTATTGCCAAGACAGCCTGACACTTCCTATTATAAGACCATATTTTATGTTCACTTTGTAACTTTGGCAAGCTTTAACAGAATGAACTGTCAGATGTCCCTTTCAGGTTTTCAGGTAAATATTTTTTTATTTTTCTTGTTCTCCAAGAAAAGAGGTCAGTCCCTTTTCTCCCCAGCAGTGCATGAAGTACGGCAGTTCACCTTTTTATTTTGAATGTGAGCTCATTGCCATCTTTTTCTCTGCAGAAACAGCTGCCGGGACCTCAGTGGGAATGGCCAGTCCCACTGATTTCCCGTAGGGACCGGGGAGTGGGCAGGCTCTGGAGCTGACATCTAAGAGCTGCTGCCTCTCCCTATGGGGCAGCATCCCATTTCAGCAAGCAAGTGTATCTCCTTGCTCCCACTGAGTGAGGTACCCAGGGGGTTTTGGAGCTTGAACCCGTCTGCCTCGGCCAGAAGACCCCTCCAGGCTCCCACTGCCATGGGAGTCCCCCAGCACTGGAGGGTTTTTTCACTGATTAACAACTTGAGGTAGTCCCAGGGAGTTGTGGGGTCTCCAGTGTTTGATTCATGCTGAATTTGGTAGTTGCTGCGAGCGAAGAACTGCTCCCTTCCACAAAAGTCAAAGCCTTACCTCTGTGAATGGTAGTGTCGCCCCTCACCCCTGCCTGATGTGAGACCTTGCTGTGTGGCGTGAGAAGATCTCCCACTGGCAACATACTCCTCTGCAAAAGGCAGAAGCTTCCAGCTCCCAGGCTGGAGGGCAGCAGGTCCTGAAGCCCTTCTGTCTCACAGGGGTTAGGATACCCCCAAAAACCCAAGTCATGGAGCTGCTCCCACTCTTACGGAGCTCAGAAACACACCCTTGTATTTCTCCTGCACTTCAAGCAGATTCAAACTGCTCTTTTCTAACCACCCTGCAAAATACTAGCAACAGTAGCAACAGTTCTCGGAGCCTGGAAGTCACTGCAACGTGACTTTAGCTTTCAGAGACAAGTCATACCTTTACGCTTGCGAGATCAGGTGAGGTAATACGGTAAGAACGCAATGAAAGCAACACAGAGTTCAAGGCATTTTGCAAAAGCCACCGGAGAACCCAGTAAATTACTTGTGGGCCGGGTTAGATCTGTCTGCAGGAATCTACAGCAACCTTCTACTCTAAAAAGCATGAAACATAAAGATGGATTAAAATTTAGGTTATGAAAATAGCATTATGTATATGGGATTTTGCAGCTAATTATTAAAGTTGATTTTTTAAAAAAAACCCGCATATGCAGACACTTTAACCTTTTAAAAACCAGCAGGGTAATCTTACCAATTTAATTCCTAAATAAAACGTGGCATAACTTTGCATTATGGATCTGTGACCTTTACATTTCTATATCAAGAATTCAATTTTGGTTTGCATTAAAATGTATTAAATCCTGGGCTGACACATCATACAATAAGATTCAGCTTAGGAGGAATATTTACAGACAAATTACACCCCAAAAGCTAATTATGCATTAGAGGTGGGATTAGCAGTACCACCTATTGCAAAGGTGGTCTGACACTTCCCATTTTTTTTAATGTTTATTTTACAGCACTGGCAAGATTTACAGAACGAACTGTCTGATGTCCTTTCCATATTTAGAGGTAGATGCCTTTTAGTTTTATTTTTCTTTTTTTTAAACAAAAGAAGGAAGTTCACGTATTCCAGGAAATAAAGCAAACCAAAATACCATTTTTCTTATATCTCAAAACTCTGATAATCTTTTTGTGAAAAGCCCAAAACACTCAAATAAATTCCGATTTCAAATTTGTTAATTGGTAACTGCCATGTAGGTGTTTTATTCAAAGGATACATCTTCCCTGTGAAAATCTGTTAGGATTTGAATGAATCTTCCGTCTTTAACAAAGAGATTTAAGATTCCTGCCACAATCGAAGGAGACTGCAAGATATATTTTTTGGAAAATTTGGATTTTAGGAGCTAATTTTCCAGACATTTTTTTCACTTCAGATTCTTCTTCAGATGACATCTTCCAATGTCTCTCAAGACAGTGCAGGACACAGAGGTATGGACTGTGCAAAGTCTGGGACTGGGCACATTTCTCTATCCAAGTACCTACTCTACCAATTCCAGCCAGTATTAAGAAGTAATATCCTTGGCTGGACAGAGAAGGGGCCCCAGAGAGGTCTGTGAAGGCTATAAAATAAGCTCAAGGCAATGCAGTGGAGTAATCATCCGTGAGGGCTAGGAAGGGAGCCTGAGTGAGAAGAGTAGGAGTTGTGTCAGTGGCTAGAGAAAGGTAGAGAGAAGAGGGATGGACACTGGCCTTCCGCTGAGGCAAAACACGGTGAGAATAGAAACCACCCTGAATCAGGAGATGAGGAACCGAGCAAGAGATTGGGACAAGAGTCCAACTGAAAATTATTATGTGAATATATACTTAAAGACTATTTTCACAAATACACACTGGAGCAACCTTAATACGTTCATGCCAAGTCTATGAGTACATCCCTTTGGAATCTTATTAGAAAACCCAAGAGACTGTGATACGCACCAACACGCATACAGACACGGACAACTGACAGAGCCTGAGTAACAAACGAACAAATGTGAGCGTACACTTAGAACGCAAGTAAAATCCGAGTCCTCCTTAAAGTCCAATTTACAGACCATCTCAGAGCGTTTATGTTATAAACCAAAGCTACACTTAAGCATAATATAAGATGAGGAGGCACCAAGATGAAACACTCATCAAGGTGAAGGAAGGGCTAATTCCTCTCTCTCTGGAATTATGCTGGAGCTTTACTAGTCACTGTGGAACCGAGGTACTCTTAAAGTAGTTTCTTTGCAAATTTCCTTGATATGGATCTGTCACTAGTCTTAAACTGAAGTGAAGGACAATCAGAGGGCAATCACTCAAATGCCTCTTCAGATATCCTGATTCCAGATATTCAGATTCATTTCAGAAGAAAGAGAATTACAGAGATTAAATAAAGAAAATAAGAAAAAAAGGTGATTTAGGCTAACGGCCTGCCACTGCAAAGCTCTGAATTGTTTTCTTAAGCCTAGGAAGCAATGCAATTTCCAGACAGATTTCTCCACCTGCTGTTTTCCTTTAACACTTGAACAGACAAGGAATATGATAAGACAGAGTCAATAATGCCAATCAAATAACAGTAAAAATTCTTGCTCCTTGTACACACTGAAAAATGGGGGTTTGATCAATATTTTTCCTCCTTAATTTAATAGCAGCAGTACGCAGTCAGACTTAATGAAGAGCACATGCATCACATTCCTGCCACACACACAGAGCTGCTGCATTAGGACCATTAGCAGCGGCAATCCCCTCCACTGGTACTTCCTTGCATTTCCCTTCTTGCATGATGGAAAGAGGCCTATTATTAGCAGAAAGATACTTAGTAAAGGCCAAATAATAACACAGAAGGAAAGAGGTGTTTGTTTGCTTCTTTGTTTTTTCCTGGTAACCCCTTCCCTTCATGAAATGGGACTAGGAGAATTAGGAAAAAGAAGTCTAATCTGGCTTTTTAAGGATAAAGCTACTGAGTAAGGTTATGGTTGAAATGTTGCTCTGCTTATATGAAAAAACACCCTTTTCAGAAAATCCATTTATGCCAATTGAGATACTTCTTTACACCATCAGGAAGAACACAAGAAATTAGTTCAGCTACAAAGATCACCTAAAGAGCCTCTGCTTGGAGGCTGCCACTAAAAAAAAAAAAATCCATAGGAGAGACACTTTTTACGAGGTGTAGGGCACAACTGCTACTTTTTTGCCATCTGTTTGAACTGCAATGGTACACCTCGGTTCTCATTGCCTGTCAGGAACAGAGCAGAAAGATTTTTTGTTTCACAGGAAGCAAACTCTTAAAAAAACTCTCGTAAGTGTTTCATGCCGCATTTATGCACAACAACACAGCCCTGCCGAGGCAGCCCTGCCACCTGAGTGATTGACGGGAACAGGAAGGACAGCACCATGACTTGCCTACGGTAAGTTTTAAATAAAATGCAAGAAATTACTCCAGTTATCGCACCTCTCCAATTTTCAAAACATAAATCCTGAGGGTTTGACGAGGACAGATGCTTTCCTATTTGTGTATAATTTATATACCATGCATTTTTCATTCCCATTTGCTACCTACTTGCACAGACAACAGAGCACCTCAACAATGTCAACAACTTCTTCTAAGTGCACTGTGGCTACAACTTATGGATCATTCATAAAATACTAGGCTAACGTATACGATTAACTCCCCAAGTCTGGCGCCCTGTACTTGCCCAAACACAGCCCCCACTGCCCAACCAGCACTGCTGCATCTGAAACTCTTGCAGAAACAAAACTGACAGAAGAATCCCACTACAGTTGTCTCCAAAGCCCCTGAGATCTTACATGGATTCAAAGGCTAGGAAGCTCCAGACGGCAGAAACCATGTGAAATGAATGCAGAACAGAAAGCCTGGTTGGTTGGTTTCCCTAAACTACCTTGACTATAGCAATATAATCTTACTAAAAGTAAACAGTTAGATGAGACATTAGCAATGGGGCCATAGGTTTAAAACTTTCAATAACTTCAGAAAGATCCATCTAGAGACTATCAGGAGGTATCCAACGTATTATCCTCTTTTCGAAACACAGCTCTTGCTAAATATATACATTATACGATGCCAGGACTCAGACTGTTAACAGAATCATACAGATAGATTTGAATGACTGATCTCTAAATTAGCTAATTGATTCTCCTCTCTAAAACAATAATGATGAAAAGAAGTTGCCTTGTAATCTGTATCTTGTAATATTGTTTTCCTTTGACTGTTTGAAACAATCACACTAGTTGGAGTCACGCAATACATTGAAAAGACAAAACCAAAGCGCTAAACTTTGTAGCCATCTCTAACAATAAGCATACATCCGAATAAATGCTGGGACAGAATCCCCTTCAGCCTCCATGAGTTGAAGACTTTTAGAAACATAGCCTAAAGAATACTGACATGTCAGCCTAGGGATCTTCATCCGTCACTGTGGTTTAACTGGGCCTGTGCATCTAACAGGCAACTCATTCAGTTTCCTTAAATTCACATTAAAAAAGCGATTTCTGCTACTGCAGTACTAAACTATAAAAAATGTATCCTTTCCTCCTTCCTGATAATCCAAAGCAGCATGTATTCTAACAAGCAAGTGACTCAAACTTACATTTTTCTGAGGTTGGGCAATTTCTTGAAGAGTCCGATAGCTTCCAAAACAGAAATATCATTGTCATTCAAACGCCTGATAGGAACAAACAAAAAGACATTTAATACTTCACAGATGTCTGTAGATACAGCTCTGTGACATACAGGGCTGCCACACAGAGAACTATGACCTTTGTTAAGCAAGACGCTATCTGCCATCTCTCTCAGACTCCTAGAGTGAAAAGAGTGTAGCTTTGAAGGAAAGGGAGCATAGAAGACAATCTGTAGTAAAAGCTTAGGATGCCTTTAAGAGCGTAATGCCAAAGGACAGTGTCAGAATGCCGCCTTCTTCCGATGCACAGGATAAGGAATTATTAACCTTAACCATTAAAAAGCCTTGTTTGCATGACTAAACCTCCTTCACGCATTCTGCTACAGAAGGCATGCAATTGGAGATGTGGTCCATGTAAACAAGGGATCTGGTTTCAGGTCCTTTCCCATCAAAGTCCACTTGTCTTCAAAATTAATGCGGAGGCCACTGTCTTGGCAGGCTTTGGATGCAAAAATCTTTATCTGATTACATGCAGCTCCATTTTTCTATGTAGAGACTTTGCCATGTTTCTGGATGTCGCTCTCATATTTTTCAATCTTAACTTCAGATCAACAATTTTTATGGGGGTTTAAATAGAATACCTTAAGTACAATCAATAGAGTACTAACACAAAGAGAGAATTGTGTTTGAAGGGGCTATAATATAACAAAAGAACAAGATTCTTAAGTTACTAAGTAATAAACATGTTTTCTCACACTCTCTTTAGCAGTATATTATGCTTATAATTGCTAAGAATCTTTAAAAGTAAACAAATTTCATAAAAACACTTATAGCTTAACAATACATTAGCTTTAGCAAGAGCCATTTCACTCAAGTAGCAGGCACTGCTGAGATGGAATGAGTTCCTGATCACAGATTTAACTCAAAAGGGTTAATCCATTGCTTAAATAAAACCGACCAGATGCAAAGACAAAGGACTCGGAGGTAGAATGGAAAGGCACCATGCAGCTTGGGCCCCATAACAGGTCAACACTTCAAGAAGACGCACACAGGCAGCTGATGCGCAGCGCCATGGCTCCTTTCTCATCCCCACAGTTCGCATGAATGCTAAGGAAATAAGAGAGTTGTGGAGCTCCTTTGAAATAAAATTAACTTCCCCTTTTTCACACAGCGATTGAAGTAGAAGGTGCCTTGAGTCCCTTTTACAGCCTTTAAAAACTAGGAAAACCAACATGCCCTGCTGAGCACACTTTGGAGAGGCAGCACTTACAGATCAGTAGTATATTCAGGAAGGTGGCTGGGTAATCGGGTGAGTTTTTGGTTAGAGCAGTCTACAATTGTTCCCTCGCAGCGACACTTCTCAGGACAGACAAGGTCCATGAAACACTTCCCGGTGAATTTACTTCTGTAGTCCTCTGACCCTGCAATAAAAGGAAAATATATTCCAGCAAACAGCTCCTGATAACTGCAGCCACCAGAGACTTTATGGAATCTATTCTCAACACTGCCTCCTGTCAGCTCCCAGCTCCTGCACATGATTTTAATACTTGCCAAAGATTTTTGTTCAGCAATTTTTCAAATTACTCCCAAGACTAGTCTGTGTTTTCTCACTCTTCCCTTGATAGATTAATTCCTTGTCTAACAAGCCTACCTGTTAAAAGTATTTTTTGAAGCACGTCTAATTACCTGTTGGAGTCTGCTTCAAAGGAGCTCCAGCAAAGTCACTTTTTCCCATTTGGAACTTAGTCCAGCAACAAGGAAAAGGGAACTCATGAAAGCGGGAGCTACCTTGGTGCATTCTAATGACCCAAGGATTTTTAAAGATGTCATTACAAAGCCCCAAATTTTCAGACCTCAGCTATTAGAGTTATTTTTGAGAGCATTCTTTTATGAGAGAACCTTGTCAATTTTCCAACAATTAGATACCTTTATTAACTATGTTAAACAAACAGCAGAGGAAAGTAATAGCAGTTTAAATCATTTTCATTTTAATTAAGGAACGGGTAGACCATACTTAGTGAGAAGCACTCCCTAATGTACCATTATACCATGATTGCCAGACCTCTTTGACTAGGTTTTTGACCCGTTCTAATGAAATGCTTTTCCAATTAGGCCCAGTGAACTAATCTGTCCTTTTCAGGTTTGGTTTTTCTCTTTTAATAACAGCAGGTTGGAAACTTGATCTCTGTGCTTCAAGGAACTGGGAGCATTAATAAATGTGTATGTAAGCAAAGCGTTGCCAAGACTCTGCCAATACCTACCCACTCACTTCGTATTTCATAATGGAAGCACCAGAATTGTCTCAGGAACCCTGTGTAACGCCCAGTGATCATAACTACCAAGAAGCACTTTTTAACTTTTCCAGAGTTTTAAATGTCAATTGCAAGGCTTTTCAGGAATGATCTGACCAAGTTCAGTTTTTAAGAACCTGAAAACATCAATAAAAACTTAAACCTGAGCTGAAATTTGTTTTTAGAGACTGGATGACATTCTTCACCTGCTTCCCCTTCCCAGACCGATAAGTATACCACTGCTCATTTTATGACCGCATACTATTTTCTGTAAGAAAAAAGAAGTCACCTAAACCCACTATTACTTTAATTTATGTTATGCATTACCTCCACAGGGTGATGCAGTGAAAGCAAGCAATTCTGCAGGCAGTCTAACATTTTGATTCCACAGACACATTTCAGGTTAGTTTTGTAATTCCGAACTAGACTATGAGAAACATCACCTACAGCTTTGTACGTTACCACTTCTGCGGTGCTAAATACTTTGCAGGTTATCATGCTTATTGTAAATTACACATCTAAAGTGAGACTTGGCTACTGGTTTTAGCTTGACAGCACAGCACTTAAAATATTAGGACCACTGGGCATTTTAAAGTATTATAAAAATACACTCTAAGCCTTTCCCCACACCACCATCCTTTAAACTCTTATCCTTTCAGAAAAACCCATCTGATTTCCAGTCCTAAAAATTCCAGGCTTGGTAGTCAAGCTAAAACGATAAGTGACGAGTGTATTACGGCTTGATTACAAGAACATACAGCTATTCTTTCCTAGGTCTATGAGACAGTATATTTGGCTGTTTACAATTCCTTGGAAATAATGCCAACGGTGAATGGTTATCAGGAGCAGAGTTTATTAAAAACTGCCACAATTACAGTACGCCTTGGCAAACCCAGCAAAATTTTCCAGTGATCAGAAAGCATCTTGGAAATCCTCAAATTAACTCTTGAAGAAGCACTTCTAATTTTCATTGTAAAAGCTCTCTTTGAAAGAATAATCACAAACGTCACGAAGTTACACAGAGTAAAAATTTATTAAGTATCATTTTTAGTCTACGGATAGATACAAGATTCATCTTCCTACAGGAAAAAAGAAGGATGGGAAAGTAAGTGGAATGCTCTACAAAAGAGAAAAAGGGGTATATAACATTAGAGGGTGAAAATCAGTTTTGGTGTTCTCTCAAGCTTTCTGGCAAAGTACGTAAAGTATATTTACCACATTTTGACTTAGCAGTCTCACTCTCCTGATGGCATACAGCTTTCCACACTGCATCAGCTACAAGAAGCTGATCTTGCCTGGGCATCAGTCCACTGCCTCCACGCTTACAACAGGGCAAAGCCCTCCTGGCTCAGCAGGAGAGGAAGGGAGCAAACATCACCTTCGTACTTTTCTTTCTTTCTCTCGCTCGCTTTTTTTTTTCTTTGACTTTTTTTTTTTCTTCTAAATGAGGTTAAATAAGAGTTACCCAGGTAAGCACTGAGTCAAAAGTCATCAACAGCATGTATATGCTCAGCAAGTACTCAGTCATCCATTAGACTAGATAAAATTTACTATTTGACCTGAGCCTTGAGATCACTTGGACAGGTGGCTGCTCTATTAAGATATTCCCATCTGGGATACTAATGTGAAACTCAGCCATCTGCTTGCAGAACTATTTAAGTGCGTAAATCCATTCCCACACACAGGGCTTTATCAGCGTACTGCTGCAGGGCTCGGAGCGAACATGACGGGATTCAGGAAGTACAATTACCCATCGCGTACATGTAGGACTTCTTGCATGCTGTAAAATCATCTGTGGAAAGCCATGGAAAAGAGATGCAGGACAGGCAGAGAAGAAACACTTGGCTTCGTTTTACTATTCCAGACCAGCCATTTGGTCATTTTATTATACCTGAAAGCATATGTGCACTGTAGCTGAGAACTCTGTGAAGCTTGGCTGGATGTAAAACATGTCCTGGGAGTTTCTAGTAATTTCCAAAATTAAAAAGAATTAAGTTTGCTGTAAAATGAGAAGCCAAGGCAACAGCAAGGTCTGTATTTAACTGATGGCAACTCTGTTTATCTGAATTGCTAGTTATTCTGATAACATTTGCATTTCACAACTTCTGTGACACCACTATCAGGTACCAGGACATTGCAATTCCTCAGTATCATAAAACAAACACACACACCATTCTACAAAACAGCAGTACTGAGATAAAGAAACATGACGTTTTCAAGTGCTAAAAAATTTTAGGTGCCTTTCTAATACCCATAAGAAGAAATTAAGCAACAGAGACAACTACCTTATTGTCCTATTTGTCTTTTTAACCATTGTTTAGCAAACCCGATTTCAGCTTTTAAAACTTAGCTTTGCGTAAAGGACTTAAAAGGAGTGCTGGATGATCTCGTCTGGAAAAAAAATAAAGCTGTCTCAACAGGGGCTTGAATACTGACCTGATATATTCATTCGAGAAAAGATGGATCCAGCTGCCTCAAATTTGGTACCAAAAATATGATCACAGACATCACCTGGTCTAAAACTTGAACAAAAAAACAGGAATCCTGACGCTCACTTCTTCATGTAACCACTAGATCACAATTCTCATAGGTTGTCAGGAAAAAAAGGAGGTACGTTGTTTGTCATAATTGCACACCGGTAGTATTAATTCTTATCAGTAATTACAGAGACAATCTAAGAATCTCAGATGTCCTTCTTCTGATGGCTCCACAACAGGTACGTAACAAATTTGCAAGACGAGGCAGTATTTCCGTATAAGAAAACTTCTGTATGAGGCTCTCAAAGTCCTTTATGAATAGGTGTAATTATCTCTACTTCACATAGGGGGGAAGGTAGGCAGAAGTACGTTAAAGATCTTATCTAAGCTGTCAAAGCTAAACTGGCCCATTTGGGTATGCTGACTCAGCTTTGTGCTCTGCAACTATTGGATAATACTGTTTTCATGCAGGCCACGTTACCCGTGTCATTTCAAGAGAGAAAAGATAACGCTTTGCAGACTCTTCTGAAGTTCTTTTGCAGTATACTTCTTCATAATGAAATGCCAGCGCAGTGAAGTTGCTCAGATCAGGTCCAAAGTTACGTTAAGTAGCAGGCATCTTGTTACAAAAGCGGCATCCAAAGCGTACTTCAAGTAGAAGGACTCACCGGACAGCTCAAATAGAGGTATGTAGCTTACATTATTTATAAGGTAAGAAGATAAAAATGATTTTTCATCTCTGTAGGTATGGCTGGAATCACCCTTGAATCATATTAATCAACAGGATGCCTAACTTCTTCATTCTAAGAGCAATTAAACAGATTAATTACTTAGAAATGGTTATTCTGCATGCAAGCCCTCTGGAAAGTCTGTCGCAAACATCACTAGGGCTCCCCCCTGCAGTGCCCGGGAGTCTGGTTAAGCAACACTTCACCTTTTTCATTTTTCCTGTGAGAAAAGGGGAATCTCTCACCTTTTGATGCTTCTGAAAACAGCAGAAGTATCCCAGCATGCCATGCGGCAGGGAGTATGCAGCCTTCCATGGTGCTTGACAGAACCATGTTCAATTTGTATTGTTCTACCACATGGTTAGATCAAGCACAAAGGAAAACCCCATGAACAGCCAGAGTCAGAGTTAGGCAGCGCCAAAGAGAGAAGAGCGTTGAGAGGAAGCAGCAATGGAGAAGCACAAGCTGAAGGTTCACGGAGAGCTGCTCTCCACTCCACCCATGCAAAAAGGTGCTGGATACAAGAGGTCATCCTTTACGCTACAACTGCAGGAACACCCTGGAGCACAATTGGGGTTAGTGTACAAGAACAGAGCCCAGGCGAATTCAGAAACAGAACTAATGTGATAGAAAATACTACCAAAGGACGGCAAACAGTTCCTTCCAGGAAGGATGTGCAACTTCCACCACATATTGAATGCCCAATCTATGCTGCTTTTTATTAGCTACTTACTCTCTCCTGGTGTCTCCTTTCAGGATAAATGCCATTTTGGTTTTCTGAATTTATTTAAATGCAATCTTAGGAATACCGCAGCTCGTATTAATAATAGTATGTTCTGAGCTGATGGCCAAGCTCTGGCATTAAGTGCTCCCCAAGCTCCCTTTGAGCCTGATTTCAGCTCCCAGCGGCCTTTCGTGCTGGTGC